GAGAGACGCTGGCAAGAGGAGGAGCAACCCACAGCAAGATGGATGATGACATGCGAAACCATCTGCAAGGCATCCTTGACGCTAATCCCGTCTTGACACTTCAACAAACGAAGGCTAGTTTGAGTGAGCATCTGCCAGAGAAGCCCCAGGTTTCTACTGCCACCATAGCCAGGGCCTTGGATGGGATGATGATTACACTGAAACTAGTGGAGGACGTCCCTGATGCAAGAAATTCCCCTGAAGTTCTTGATCAACGCGTCCAGTATGGTGAGTGGTTCCTGCAGCATGGTGTTCTGGCGCATCTAGTCTTCATTGACGAGACAGGTTATAACGTCTGGACTCGACGCTCCCAGGGTAGAGCTCCACGAGGGATCGCTGCAAGACGAGTCGTCGACAGACAACGAGGGAGAAATTGCAATGTCACCTTCGCTGTTTCTAGTGAAGTAGGCTTGGTGCACCACCGAATCGCATTCGAAACTGTGACGCGAGAGAGATTCGAGGAGTTTCTTGCGGACACAATTCAAGAGTGTGATGCAGTTTTCCCAGACGACGAACCCATTTACCTCATATACGACAATGCGAGGCCTCACGTGCGAGCCCAACTCCCTGAAGGTGCCAACCCAATGATCCAGCTGAAGCGCCTCCCTCCCTACTCCCCATTCCTGAACAGCACGGAGATGGCACACTCTGCATTCAAGGCATCCTTGGGTTACCTGAGTGGCAACAACGTGTCGGAGACAGACAGGCTGCCCAGCAAGCAGGAATGAACATGCAGCAGTGGAGGTGCGATCTCCTTCAACAAGCAGCCATCCAGAGCGTTGATGTCATCACCCAAGTGAAGTGCATGCAGTGGTACAACCATACCCAAACATATATATGCCAAGATGTCTGGCACGCCAACAGATTGATGGTTGAGGAAGAAACAACATAAACAATAAAAAAAACAGGAAAAACATAAAGAAATACCCCATTCAAACACAATACAAAATTAGGTCTTGGTCAGTTAACCAATAAAGATCCCCCCCCCCAAAAAAAAAAAATGAAGAAGAAAACAAAGAAGAACAAAAAACCTCATTGGCCCCATGTAAAGTCTACTGGAAGCATAAATAAAGAAAACAAGGTTTGCCTGAATTAAAGTGAAGATACGAAACAGTTGCCTAGTACAGTTTATCTGTTTATTCGTATTTCTTTAGTCGTACTTATTTGAATTCTCTTTAAGCGAAATTGATTGCCTCTCTACGAAATTGAAAAAAATTAAATCAGTAAAATCTCCAGTCGAACCAGCTTTGCTAAATTGAATGATGATTGTGTGTCACGAAAAAGAATGACGATATGCTAAATTGAACACAGTGCTAAAGGAATTTGAATGCCTCAAAACCAAATTGAATGGCCGAATTCTGAATTTGAAACGCAGTAACAACTGGAGAGGCAAAATAGCTTCAATTCGAACGCACGAAAATTAAATTGGCTGCACATTTGCCGAAATTGACCGAGAAAACCTATATATCAGACAAGAGTTTGCTAATTTTCCGATATTCCAATTTACGCCGTGAGAGTCGTTTTATCTTAAATATGATCTCAATATGATTTAAAGCAAATCTTGAATTTGTAAGTGTCATTTTTAGGCAACCTGTCAATAAAGACATTTTTTGTGAATTTATGATTGTTAATGTTTAACGTGAAGTGAATTACTTTTCAACGGGATAAATAGGGGAAAACAAGGCAGAGGTGTGATTTCCTACGAAGCTTGGGGGAGTAATTTAAAACAAGTTGAAAATAAAAAAAACACAACTCAACTTCGACCCAGATCAAATCAATACCCTAAAGTTTATCTCTTGTTCCTCTGCCAGTTTATTGTTCATATAAGAACGGGTGGGGAAAACCTCAAGGTTAGTTGTTCAGTATCCTTCATTAGATTTTAAACACTTTTGTTGCTTCAAACGAACAGAATGCACAAATTACAAATGATGGACTAGGCCTATGTCTTTAAGACGCACCTTTGGAAAGGCCTTCTTTTGTTGATTTCTTCAAAATGACAGCTTGCCAGAAAGAATAATTCCACAGGGAGTTTAGTCCCCTTACTACATGTATCTTTCAACCAAGTATGTTTTCAACAATAATTACGCCAGTTACTTTTGGGATAGCTACAAATGATGGACTCTGGCTTTAATCAGGCGCGGATCCAGGGGGTCAAACCCCAAAAACAATTATACTGGTATTCATATAAGCCTGTGCACAAAATACAGACAATACCTGCTACGTTACAGAGGTATTTGTACATTATCCTGTAATAAACTGTTAATAATCGTGCACCTATTGAAAGTATGGTACGAGCCCCTCCCCCCCCCCCCTCGAAATTAATAACAAATAATGCACCCCCCCCCCCCCCCCCCAGCTCTGACACCTCCCAAAAAAAAGCAATTATAGGCCTACTGGTATTAATATACGCCTGTGCACAAAATACAGACAGAGTCTGCTGGGTTACGGGGGTATTGATTTGTACGCTATCCTGTATTATACAACACCTGAATAAATCCCCGTCATCTGATTGGTGAATTGTAGATCACGTGACATATTATTATTCGGTATAATGCACGGTGCGACCATGCGTTATACCCATGCGTTATACCGTTTCACTTTGCGCTTGTTCCATGACGCGGTATTTGCGTGCAAAATGCATGCTGGTGTGCGCGTTCAGCGTAGCGCGTATTGTTCCAAAGAGCCAGCGCTACAGCGTTGGGTTCAAACATTTTCGGGAAGGGGTAGTTCAACATCTTTAAAATCAAAATAAATTGTAGTTTATAATTTACCAATCAAATGACGAAAATTTATTCAGGTGTTGTATAAAACAAAATAACGAATGTTTTACGTTCGTGCGATGGAAAGAATAATTTCATGAGGTGACAGATTGAATGTTCTATTCCACTCGGCTTCGCCTCGTGGAATAGAACATTCAATCTGTCACCTCATGAAATTATTCTTACCATCGCACTCACAAACATTCGTTATTTGTATAATAACATGTTAATAATTGTCACATTTAAAAAGTGCCCCTAAGGAAAGTATGGTACGAGCCCCCCCCCCCCCCCCCCCCCCGTATTGATTTTACGAAGCAAAGTCAGTGTCCGGACCCCCAAAAACCCTGTGTACATTTCATCATTGATTTGCTGATGAAACACCCCCTCCACAAATACCTGGATCCGCCCCTATCACATTTACCGACAATGTGATATTCCTTAGCAACCCCAAGAGATATACAAAAGTACACATCATGTAATCAAGCAGGTGAAGTTTTGGCCGTGGTGAGAGCACCGTTTTGCAAATTCAATACGCACACCGAATGACAGTGTGTATACCAGTATATAAACACATATTTGATTCGGAAAGCATATTGTACGCCACAAGAATAAACTAACTGTGATTAAAATAGTTTATTCGTTCGTTGTTTTCCTATTTTAAGACCATTCAATGCATTAAAGTATTTTGAAATCAGTAACTGCTCTCGAAAGGCACTATATCGACAGAATTTTAACTTGAAACCGCGGGTTTTGTTTTTAAATTAATGCCATGTCCGATAATCACTTGTAAAACAGAATTGTAGAGCAGCAACACCATGTTCAGGTATTGCATGAACTCTTCGATGTAATTGAAAAGTCTCGTTTAAATTATAAGTGGTACCGGTGTCGAAAAGCATTCAATATTTGCGAACCATTATTGATCGTGTAATCTGTTAAATGAATGCAGAATCATAATATGTACGTGGGATGGATACACTACAATTTACTGGTAAAAAAAATTCCGAAGAACAATAAGAAATGGATACAAGATACGGTATGTCATGCTGCAGTCTAACGTACCACGCTAGGACGGTTGTGCACCCTCCATCAGATACGATCCGATATACGCATTGGTGTGGTTAAGTGGGCGTGGTAATGTGACGACGGTCGGGTTCGGACCATTCTCTCTCTCTAAAAAAAGGAAGGATTAAAATGCACTTATAAACGGAACACAGATCTGACAAATCAGCAGATTATTGACTTACACCTTGAGATATCTTGTAATACCCGCTTAATGATTAAGACACGGTCCAAGTCTTGCAACGCCTTTGAAGACTGACACGAGGTGGAAATTTGGAGGCAATCAAAAGCACGTGGTCTTATCCTACCAGCGTACGTTATGTAAAACCATGGAGCTAGGAACACAGCTCCATGGTAAATCAAACAATATACGTGCTCTGGCATTTATGACTGCATTTTCAGAATAAACAATCTTGCGCTGCGCGGGTTTGAATGAATATGGCACGGTTTCTAAATTCCATTCTTCAAAACAAAATCGTCAAGATTTAAACGCGTGTAGTGAGCATACCATATACACGCAGGCAGTTGGTGCAATTTGCCGAGCCCGGATTCCGATTAATCCCAGATATGTGGAATGTCACTTCACAATTCACGAAGATGTAGGCTACTCACGTAAAATGTCACAAGTATTGTATATCACTCGGTCATTTAAAGGGAGGTATCTTTTATGTAATGTCTCTTCATTTTTCACGGTACCAATTGCAATTAAATCGTCACAATGATTTTTTTAACTCTTCTTTTTTCTCTCTCTCTTTTTTTTTTTTGTAAAGGTTAGTCTTTGCACTTCAATGATCTTCATGTCCATGACGGAGAATTTATTTAGGAACTAGCCTATAAAGACTGTGTTTTTATTACCAGACAGAGACTTAAAAAAGATCGACAAATGTACTGGACTTCAAAATCACAGCTACTGGTATACGTACCATAATGCACGCCTACGTAATGTGTAGTATAGTAGTAGTATGCATCTTTCCAGTTGTACACTCACAGTGCCCCGTCCCCGCCCCGTCCGCCTCCCATTTGTTGTCCCACACTGTTGCCATGGCGATCGAGTAGCAACTCTCAGCTGCAAGATTCATTACATCAGCCGAACAATACATCTGTCTGATTATTGTCACACATTGTTTTCATTACACAGTGACGACGAATGCGAGAGGTCTTGCTTTTTGTCAAATGAAGGCACGCGTGGGCAAAAAGATAACAAAATTGATCGTATCTACCGCTGTGGTTTGACCAACCGACCTATTTCATCCATTTAGTCACGGTAAATTGAATTTGCAAACACTTAACTAACTACACGGAACATACGCCTCTATGGATGGACTTCATTTCAATTCGCCAACTGCTGTGGATTAGTCGATAGTACCACGATGGGGCGTAGCGGTTTGGTTCTTCTTGCTGTCTGCATTCAATTTACCTTTGGGGCTCACTTACCCCCCGAAGTCTGCTCCATTTATACCCAAACGGGAGATGTGTATATCGGTGGCGTATTCTCACTCCATGCAGATGATGAACCTGAGGGGAAGGAGAGAGGTGTACCTCAAGGATGTAAGACACGTCTACCTATCAGTTCTTTGCAGGTCGTTGAGGCCATGGTCTATGCGGTGAAGACAATCAACGACAATGACACTATCCTTCCTAATGTCACCCTGGGGTTCATGATCCATGATGATTGCTCTAGGGATGAGTATGCTATGTGGGGATCGCTGTCCCTCCTGATGGGTGCCCGGGCGGTCATTGAGGGAGCAAGCTGTAAGATCCCAGGAATGACGTCTGGGAACAAAGACCAATGTGTTGTGGGTCTGGTGGGCACGGGGAGAACATCCTCTAGTGAGACAGTTTCAAGCACAGCAGGGCTGTTTGAGAGGCCGCTAGTCTCTTATGGCGCCACGGGCCAAGAGCTCTTGGATGGGGAGGCGTTTCCGTACTACTTCAGCACCATTGCCTTTGACGAGTATAAGAATAAAGTCATCCTGGACATACTAGATTACTTCGAGTGGCAATATGTAGCCTTGGTATATGCAGCAGGCTATGATACGCTTGACATGATGGAGGACCTTAAGAACGCAGCCGTAGTTCGGCATGTGTGTATGCACATAAATGTAATGGTCAGTGAGGTTCCTACGGAGAAGGAATTAAACACAATGGTCAACCTGTTGCAAAATAATAAATATGCGAAAGTCGTTGTGCTGTTGGCCTCGTCTGCGGTAACTGTTAATGCTGTGTTTTCAGCTGCTCTGGAGGCAGACCCGCCTATGAACCTTACATGGATCGTGAGTACTGCGTCGGAAAATGTTCAGATCTTGCAGAGTCGCCTTGCGCAAGGCAGTCTATTCATCGAGTATGACACCCCAGAACTAAACGGGTTCGAGCGGTACTTCCGTTCCCTGACAAATGGAAACACCGAAAACCCATGGTTCAAAGAGTTCTGTGTGGATTTAGACAAATGCATGTCATCAAGCACAGAAGGATTCAGTAAAACAATACCGACCCTAGCTCCGACTATGGACGCAGTTTATGCGTTGGCTTATGCTCTGGATGAGACAATACGCCGTATGAACTGCAGTGGCATGATATCGAATTGTCTCACAAGTCATGGCGCCGAAACCGTTTTTGCAGGAATGCTGCGGGTTGTTTCTTTTCCAGGAACGAGGGGTGAATTTAGATTCAGTGAAGACATTAGATCCGTTTCAGGTCATTTTATCATCAAAAACATGCACGAGATTGACGGTACGTTCAGGATGGTAGAGGTTGGTTCGTGGAGCTCTGGTTCGTCCACACGTACGCGAAGGCTCATGAGCGTTACGCCACTGACCATTGATGAATCTTTGATTCAGTGGAACAGAGATTTGGGAGATAAGACTCCCAGGTCTACCTGTAAGGAGGAATGTGGGCCGGGGTATGTGGAAGAGGCGCTGGCGAAGAGATGCTGCTGGGGTTGTCGAGCATGTTACTCCGACGAAATCGTCAATGGGACCAATTGCATAAAGTGCCAGCAAGTACAGTGGCCCAATGATAACCAAACTGCATGTGTAGATCTTGTCCCGGTAACGGTCACCTGGTTAAATCCATCTTCCATTATGCTGGTCTCTCTGGTGTGTCTTGGCCTGCTTCTTTGCTCACTATCTGCGATCGGTATGATCAAATACCGACACCATCCATTGATCAAAGCCAGCAGCAGAGAGTTGAGTTGCGTCAACATCTTAGGTCTCGTCTTGGGTTACCTGGCCGTGTTACCTCTCCTCCATCCCCCAGGACCCCTGGTCTGCGGCACAGCTCAGGTCTTGTACGCCCTAGCCTTCACCATGATGTATGCTCCACTCCTGCTCAAAGTAAACCGTATCTACAGGATCTTTGAGAGCAGCGCTAAGTCTGCCAAATCTCCTAAATACACTGGACCTCGAGCCCAGCTGTTGATCGTTGCCCTGCTGGTTGCAGTTCAGGTAAGAGTATTTTCAAAATGCGATATGCGATATATATAGGGCCAATTCATTTGAATGAAAAAAAGGTTGCACTTGTGAAAACTTATAAAGAACATACACAGAAAATGACTGCATGTTTTTTTACTATATTATCCGCTTTTAATTGTGTTTTATCCTATTTAGCTTTCAAAACTGACTTAGGAAACTTAGGGAAATCAGGAGAGGGTGGGATTAAAAAAAATTGCCAAAAATGGCGATATTCTAATCAAATATTTTTTTGTAAAACATGCAGGAGCCTATTCAGTGATTATTGTGCAGGTATTACATGTTCACTTTTAACTGTTGTCGTTTTCATGAATCAGTTGAATTGAAAACAAAATCTAAATGATATAAAAGGGCATAGCCTGTGCCCTATTTCAACTAACTGCTCTTTTGTAAGAAGCTTTTGTACACAATGAGGACAACAGAAGTGAAAAATCGATAACCCTTTTATTTCATTAAAATATCAAAATGCGCCATCAAAGTTCTGTAACGTTTCTCTAAGATTTGATCGGTTTTATCGATATTTAAGTCCCTCTAGTACAAATAGGTTTTGGGTGGTTTTTTTTTTGGGGGGGGGGGGGCGTTGCCTCGCAGAGGGCCAGCCAAGTGTCCTCTTTGCGCTTGCCTGACCACCTGACTGACTCGCTGACTCGATCACTCACTGACTGTCACTTCAAGTGACCACGGGATACTTATCTCAACTAATTTCTCACCGTCCATGTCTCGGAGCAGCTTTATGACGCTTGCCTATTCATAATGTGATGTAGCACTACTCCATACACAATGTGCAAATTGTGTGGGCAATATTTCAAGTTTCCGTGCGATCGGCGGAGGTACAGTTTTTATTTTCATCGCGTCGCTACTTATACAGCCTATTCTTGAATTTATTTTCTTGCGTTCTGAGTCAATCTCCCGGACAGCTGTGTAGGCTTGCTTCTATCATATTGAAGTTCCCTAAAACGGCAAAAAGAAATCCAATTTTTTAAAACAACGTTTGATGCAACACACGGCAGATGTATATTAAAAATATTTCATCACATGATAATATTCTTCCAATATGCAGTATATGATACAATATAGGACATTTATGTTTCTCGTGGTCATGTACATATATGGGTATAAATTATATATATTAACAGCTTTTAGACAAATTGACAACATGCGTAGGTCGTTTCAAAAGCTGCCCGTTGTCAGTAAAATGCTTGTTAGCGATGTCATTTCAAGATAACCTGACTATCAATTCTGCCATAGCCTTGGGCGGCATAACAACAAGTACCAAGTCGATAAAACCTAATCACGTATGCAAAAGCTCATTAGTGGACCCATTAATATCTCTTACGGCTCATTACTAGCTTTAAAAGTGCATGGGTCTTCCAAGCTCGTTATGTTTTTCCATTGATGGGGGAGGTATAATCAAGATTTAATCATTTTCCAATGACCTATTTCAAGGTCAAAAAGAACGTCGTCCTGATGAACAATAATTCACTGAGTACACATTATTTTGATTACTCAGCAACAGCGGCACATCTTTGAACAATTAGTACGGTACTTTTTGTCATCATGGACGTATATTTTTTTATCACATGACAATATCCAAAAGTATCCAGTGGTGTTTATCTTAATTAAATATCAAAAATACCACATTACACTGACAACAGCATTCACTCAAATAACTGTATTTGAATATCCAATATGATACTTTCATGTTGTCCTCACTGATTTATTCTGGTTTCCGAAGCTAAACATTCTACGTCTTTCAATATTTTAGGTCAGGTAGGCGCCATAGCACGAGAAACTACTTTTGATGTTTTCGGAAAAGCCCATGCTTTTCCGAAAATATCAAAAGTTCGCTGAATACGTTTCGTTGACGCTCGAAATATGTTCGCGAAAGCTCAGGTATTTCCGGTTGTCTAACAAATTCCTGTTGAAATTGTATCAGAAATTCAATGTTGATGTCGTGCCAAAAGTGTATGAAGGTGGGCTTTGCTGCGTCATGTTCTATTTGTTAATGTGATGGTATATCTAACCAATAATACGATTTTGTAAGGATGAGTGTGACAGCGGGCGACAAAGCCGACACTCCAAAATTGAAACAAAATTAGTTTGGACACGATGTCTAGTGTATATAGGCCTATAAAACTTGTGATTTGGAATAAGAAAAGAGAACTGACTGAGACCATATACAGCCTTGTTCCCGTTTTGTTTCCAATAAACCTTGAAATTTGGGTTCTAACTGGGCAATTTTAAATTTTAATCCTTTGTTATTTTACCTTTGGCATGCAGGCAATGCTGATACTTATTACTGCCGTAGCCATACCTACGACGTGGACCTCGGTCCGGAAGTTGTTCCCCACGCCAACTACCAACCAGCCCCGGACCCTGGAGAATTTCTGCCGATTGGATCTTGGTTTCCTAGTTGCGAGTTCCTACAACGTCCTTCTCTCCCTAGCCTGTTGTTTTTACGCCTTTAAGGCCCGCAACGTGCCTGGCAACTACAACGAGGCGAAGTTCTACGCCGCTAGTGTATACACCACACTGGTGCTGTCCTTATCGGCTTTGCCTGTGTACTTCAACGCAGAGACAGCTGTGGCCTTAGCCGTGTCTGTCAGTCTAGTCCCTATCATGGACGGCTACGTCACTTTGTTTTGCATATACCTGACCAAGCTGTACGCAGTTATCTTCAAGAAGGCGGGCGATGATGATGGTCAGCCAAACGAAAAGGCTACGGTTCGTGGAGGTTCGTTACAGCTCAAGAATCGCACAGCTTTTGTCTCTGATGGGAATGCCACCAAAGTGCACCCATCGACATCATATGGAGAAAAATCCACCTACTAAACCCTGAACAAGACCGGTTTTTTAAACAAGATACCAAAACTACTGAGATTTGTTACTTCACCGATGATGTGTTCTGGACGAGCTCCACCATCCGTTACCCGGCCCCTCCCTCTTCTTCCCAAATAATGAAAACTCACAGTGACATTCATCTCACCAGACGTTTTACAGTAAAATTCATTTAATCGAATAGATCGATTTTCCTGTTTCAGAGTATTTCAATCGAAAATTAGAGTGACCTTCACTCTTGATCGTCTAGTCACCAAGTTCACTGTTTGGCAATTGGAGAGAATACCCTCCCTGCGTCCCACCTTTACCCAATTCTGTAATAATTATGTACACAACCTTGTTAATAAACTTATTTTTGTTAATTAAAGCTCTGCATATATAACGATCATCAAAGTAATCTATACCCACACTGGAAAGAATATTTTGAATTACAAGCATCACATAGTTGCGTACCAAGGAAATTATAGTTATTTTACCTCTACGCGTACTCCGGAAACAAACATTGTAAATAATCGCTTCCGACAACGATATAGTTACAGTTTGTGTAATTCGTCGCCTCATCCAGAGAACTAAGGCGATCCAAACTCATTTCACGCGTCATGTTTTTTTTCTTCATATACAACGATCTTTGTGCTAACTTTGCTGTTGAACATATTTTGTTTTAGATTACATGTATATTTGTTGTTCATGTGCTAGTACTGGTGGTATCATGCAGTTTGTAAACACTAAAAGGACGGTTAACTTGTGTTTGCCTATCAGGTTCAATTGTGGAAAAAGGTTGAATTCCCCTCCTTTAAACCTAAATGAATTTGCCAACTATTTTTTTTCAAATACCAGAAATAGACCTTATGCATGGCAGCCATCTTAGAGGGCAATAGCTTTGTTTTAATGAAACATCCAGGAGTGAACCCTTTGTGCATTCATTGTTACTGAATTAAGATCACAAAACAAATGCCCTCTAAGATGACCGCTACGCACAAAGTCTATTACGCGACATAACAGAAAAATCCACGGAATAGCTTCGAGTAAAATTTGACTTAAAAGATCGATATCGATAATATCGATAACATCGTTTTAAAATGTTATCAGGGGAATGAAGTTGGATCACGAAGATGCAGACCTAGAACACAGCAGGCGAGAAATCGAGCTACTCGGTGGACCGTTTTTATCATATTAACAACTACTTAGTTGTTGTAGGCCTATCAACTCCTTTGAAATTTGTATTTCTTTTAAAACATCTTTCTTACTGCTTGGTAAAACATAAAACCCTATAAGACGTGCAGGAATGTACCGTCTTCCATAACCAGCAAATAATAATAATAAATAATAATAATTAACACTTATATAGCGCCCGGATCCATAATATGCTCTTAGGCGCTGTACACATTAAAAAGATTTAAAAAATTACAGCATAAATATGTTTAAGTACAGCATAAATATGTTTAAATACAAACATGTAAGCTGTAACTGATCATACATTGTACTCCAGGGTACTTCGCTTACATTTATTGTATAGATTAGACTCTGAAAATATATCGTTCATTAATATCAAAGTTATCCACATGTACTTGAATATATATCGTGTATTTTTCTGAAGAATTAAATTATTATGGTGTTCATAACAATTGTTGGAATATGATAACAAAAAGGGACATAACGAAATGTCACATTGTAATTCATTAACAAAAATGATAGGCCCCCTATATATTGAACAGTTGAGAGCGCTAGTGGCAGGAGAACAGTTTTGAAAGTTTAGGGGCGGGGCAGGACGGTGTGGGGGTGGGCAAAGTACCGCCGGTGCCGGCCGGCCGTTTCAAATTCCGCACTAGGCCGTTTTCAATTGCCATTTCCTATGTTGTTCTTTTCGGGTAATGTTACATCCTGCGCCCCTACCCCCGCGGGGCCTCGGCTCTGCCGCTTATAACTGCAATGACTATCCTCCTGATGATTGAAAGTGATTTTTTTTTTCGACTGATATTTCCAGAGACAGTAGACTACATAACTTATTTTATCTTAAAGGGCCTAGTAAGAGTAAATATTTTGGGATCCGCATAGAGTGCCCCCCCCCCCTCCGGCCGGAAAAGGTGGAGGGCCCACTGCCGCACCATCTCTCCCCCCCCCCCCCGACCCAACAAACAACATTTCCCCCCAATTTCCAGGAAACCGTAAGTGCTGCAAATTCTAAAGGGGGACCTCTTTAGAGGGCCTCTAAGGGTGCTTTTTTCTTATCAATTTAAATATAAACATTTCATAATGCCGTGTGGTTAATTCAGAAGCGTCCAAATTATGGTCATCTGGATTCTGCTTATATTTAATAGCTCAAGCAAATGCTTTAAAAAAGACACCTCCTTGGCAAAAACGGATTTTAAATAAATTTTTTGAGGGGGGGGGCACTTTAGTCTGAGTATCACCCGTTATTCACGTAGCTAAGTGTTAAGTCAAAGCATGCAGATTAATGCAATTTTCGCCTCGGCCAATCGGAGTCGACTTTATTCTATCGTGACATCGTTTCATTCCCAAATCAGGGCTAAACGCGTGATTGGTCCATTCGAATGCAGCGGTTTTTGTAATACAACAACTGGCGTGTTTTTTTTGCTGTGTCTAGGCAACCTCGTCCCCAGGGTGTCGAGCAGTACGCGCCCACCACTAGCTGCTCTCTCACCCTGGTATTGGATCATTTGCATGTGCAAGATTTTTGAACACGTATGCAAATGAGGAATAGTCTGGCGCCTGCCTGTGCGTTACGTGGCGAGCATGGCGTGAGTTACGAAAACACGATTTTATTTTAATTTAACTGTTTTGATCTTATCGAAACAACATGCAGTATCATATTTCACATTAATATTAGCAAATTGGAAAGGGAATAGGAATTAGTATTTTCGAGAGGCGTGGACGAATATGATCGCGAAAACACGTTCTGCACGTTGTGAATAATAGCACCAAGTACACGATAAGAATCCAATACTAGCCAATTGTGGTATCGAAACAGGACACGAGAAGAAAGTTGCCTATCCATGGCTTTCTATTAGAAACGTGATTGGAAATAAAGTGAGCACTGGGGACGAGGTTGGTGTCTAGGGTATGTTTTTTATTGATGTCTATGACGCGACAACGGCGAATGACCGAAGACACTATATAGAAAGCGCCGCTTATCGGTCAAAATCTAGATGTGCAAATGCAGTTGTCTTCAGTGGCGTCGCCAAGGGGGGGCCAGGGGGGCACGTGCCCCCCCTGGAAAACCTAGTGCCCCCCCCCCCCGAGTGCCCCCCCCCCCATCAAATGCTGGTGCCCCCCTATCCTCTGCAAAATTCTGCGCGTTGTTAAAATCATTACCTCAAAAATAGCAATTTCTGGAGATATCTTCAGATCGAATTTAGCATCAAATGTGGCACCATTTTGCATCTAGCCCATCCTCCGTATGCGAAAATTTTCCAAAGGGGAGGGGGGCACCCCCTCCCCTTAGACCCCTCCCCCAGGACGGCGATCCGTATCCACCTAAGTGCCCCCCCCCCCCATCAAATGCTGGTGCCCCCCCCCCCCCCCTGTGCCCCCCAGACTGAAAAGTCTGGTGACGCCACTGGTTGTCTTGCATAATTAATCAGCGAACCTGTTAAAATGTAATAGACCAAGGCTTTCGCCATGGTCTACTGCGTAGACCTAGGGACACCTGGGGGCCCACTGGGAATTTGTGGGGGCACGTGACACCCCCCCCCCCCCCCCGGCTACTTGCGCTCTTGACAGTTGATTTTATGAGTTTAAGACGGCTTAAAAATATCAATTGTCAGCCTTGTATAAATATTGAATGAATTAATTAGGCAAATAATGGACGGGAGCCAAATCCAGCGCATCTTGGGCCATTTCAAGTCAACCCTGCAGCAGTGTTGTTCTGTAGAGTGCTCCACACCCGACAGTAATTAGCGACACTAATTCCATCAGTGGCAGAGGTCAGCTAGTGGGATTGATGAGTTGTGGACGCGGCACCGTCAGAGACAGACTTAATTGCAGATCGGACCTGAGTAAGCAATCGTCAGGGACAAAACCATTAATGCTCGTCACAACCGATATCACTATTCTGAAAGATCACGGCTAAGCAAACAACCCTTGTTCTAAATTTGTATAATTCATATAGGCCTATGCTTATTTACCACGCGTCCGTCAAGGCTATTTCCATTTAAATTCTCCATTATGCCATAAACTTCAAACATAAAATTTCAATCATATTTATCTTTCGTCAATCTAATTTACTGTTGCAGCGAGCTCTTTCATGCAAGATTATAGGCCTTAATTACAAAATAATATCCAATGCAGTGGACAACACCATCTCTAAAGGGCGCTAATAAGGTGGTGCGGCCAGTGATTTTTTCCACAGGCGGGATGCGCCAAAGTCTAGTCACGCATAATTCAGTTTTCCTTTGAATCGTTGCAAGACATACTGGACCGATCGAAACTATTAAATTATTCATGACTTTGGAGCATCCATCCTATAAGAAATTCGCGTGCGGCCAGAGCCGTATAGAGGGGGTGTACCATAAAGAATACCATAAAAAATACTTTCTTAGGCGAACGATTTTCAGTGAAATTACCTGTTGTTATCATTATAGAGAGTTACGACAACTTCGCGTTAGAAGCCATTTTGGTTCCGACTCGTAACGTGCACCGTTCTTTCTAGAGCTATATTAAAGTAATTACTAGAGCGCTAATAGTTAGTGCTTATACCACACTACTGCATGTGTATTTACACACGTACGAAACGACCAATCGTTCAACTTTGACAAACCAAAGGTAAAGTTTAGGACCCCAGCCGTTCCATAAAAGAAAACGAAAAGACACCTTTTGTTTCAGGACTGAATTGATTAGTTGGCGATGATAATGTAGTAAATCCCACGATGGGGGACAACTTGGTGTTGTCAGCTTGCGCTGAATCAACGGTGAGGGATGTGAATCCCGGGTCAGGGAGCAGTAGGCCTTGTCCAAAAAATATAACACGCCAACTCTTGGTTGTAACTTGCTGTCTTGGTTTTATTGTTTGTTGACTACGAAAGAAAACCCCGTGAGCCCTTTTTCTTACGCCATTCTAGGGACGCTGAAAGAGGCCGTATTACTTAACAACTTATGTATCTATGGGCCATTTCCATGCGAGTAAATCTACATTATCCCTTGATTTCAACTAAGTCTTATTACAAAATTGTTGTCTTAACTCAATTCACATAGGGTTATCACCAAAAGATGAATTATACATCAAATAATGGTTACAAACATAGGATGATCCAGAACTAGTTCTTGTTTGGCGGAAGGCGACTACCGCACCCGAGGTGATGTGCGCGCTGTAAACAATTCGCCTTAAAGCAGCAGTTTAGATCTTAGTTTAAAGGTACTACATGTATATTCATAATCCATTTCCCCACAATAACTACAGGAAATTTCACTGAAAATTGTCCGCCTCGGAAAGTAAGAACTAAGTAGTAATATAGGTTTTCCCGGCCAATTTCAACAAGTTTTCATTCAATTTAACGCCTGGCTCATTCGATTTAGATTGAAATTGATTGAAAAATCATGCAGATCGGCATTCGACAATCAAAAAGAATCCTTCAATTTCACTTTCCAAGCATTCTATCGCCTTTTAGCATCACTCGTCCCTATCAAAGATGCATTCATATTGTGATGAATCATCAACTATACGTTTTATACATTAACATGAACTGTATAGTGACTTTTCTTTAGTGCCCAGTCACTCATACTAGAACATCAGCATTTAATTGGCCAGCGCTGTTAGTGGGCGTGGCTTAAGTCATCTACTGAGCAATACTGCATTTTCATTGGTTGAGGCACCCTGTGTACTTTACTAATGAGGGGCATTTATTGTATGTGAATGTGTATGACCATGTTGGCCTTATAAAGGCACAGTTCGAGAGAATAAATCTCACTTCTTCGCTTGGTGGGACTAAAGAAGTCAAAGAAGTCTCCTGTCTCTGTTTTATTGTCTAATTGTCACTAATTAGGGTGTAAGTCTTCCCACTTGAGCCACTTGAG